CTAAGGGGCGTAACCCGTGAGGGAAAGACATTCCTTGATATGGGATCTATCTTTGTGCTTAATTTGGGCTGTATCGGTTTAATATTTTAGTCGTGACAGCCGCCCGGACAGACTGACTGATACCACCTCAATTTTAACGAATTTTCCATATAAGGAATAATCTATTACCGTAGTACTTATGGTAAGACCTGGACCCGAGACCGATTTACTTTTTCTTTTTGAGGTCACTAGAGGCCAAAACACAATTCATATATATATGTCCGTTAGCACCTTAACTCGAGCAAAAATGATCGGATTTATATGAAATTTGGTATAAACGTGTAAACCTACATTTATTCCAACGACTTCGCGAACCAGCATGATCGGACTATGGGAATGGGGTTTTATGGGATAAAAATTAGTTCTTTCCCATTTTCTACAAAAAAAACATAAAATTTTGCGATTTATTTCAAAATAATTTTGTAGTGCTTATAAAAACAAATAATTTAGTATATTGAAGTGTTATTATGCGCCGAATGGCTATGGAGAAAATTCCAAAGATTTCTCATGTTACGTATTCTTATGGAGAATAAGTAAACTGTTGTAGTTTGCTTGATTATGAATATATTTTGACCATATTTGGAAAATGCATTCATTTTTTACTAAACTATAAAACCACTTTTTTTACCCTCCCTGTTGTATTAAACCTAAGTACTTGTTAAACTAATTAAATTTAAATAGGGAATAAATGTGAGACTGCTGGATCAGAGCTATAATGTGATGAACCCCTTCAATGAATGCAACCCGCAGTACGGCCGTGTATCTGAATCACGTCACGCGCCGCGCTGTAACAGTCCGAATGAAATCATGAAACCACTATAAACACAGACTACCGCTACTTACTTCTATAGATGTGTTACTCTTGTCTCTAAAGAAAAGCTAAGGACAATCAAGAGGGGTTTTGTCTGTTTATGTCGAATGAGTTTTGAGTGTTGAGGATTAAAATCTGTTTCTGGTACCGGTACGACTATTACAAATATCCTTGTTTTCTGATAATGTCATAAAACAATTCCAACCAAATAAAACAATGTACACTATTTTATAAAAAGTTTACTGCGCAAAGTAAATATACATACGTCTAGTAACACTTAGAACATATATTTTATACTGTAAACTTCCAAGTGAAACAGTAATAAGTGTTAATATATAACGTCTTCCAGTGGTCAAAAACTCGACCAAAATTATGTCTACAGACTTCTCTATTTTCATCCCACACATTAAATAAAACATGTGATTGGCATTTCTTTAGTTTGTTTTGATTTTCTGTTTATATTTCGTCACCAGCATGGCAACCCATAAGGTCAATAGTTTTTTTTTTTTTTTTTTCAAATTAAGTATTTATGTTTTTGTGCTTATTGCTGAGCCTATTTTAATTTATAAAGGTATTCTGCACATCTACAGGAAAATATCTTTCTAACAGTATGCGTAGAATTTCCCAGCGACGCACACGAGCTGAGAAAAAGTGTTTAAAGTAACAGGATTGCCTATTAATATATAGATGTTCCAGGTGTTATTAGACGTATTTTTATTTACTTTTCGAAAATGTAATAACACGTACAATGATGATTACAATTCCCGTAGTATTGCCTCCTTTTTACGGATGAAGTTGTGTAAGCTGAGAAGAAGAATATAAATTACATTGAAATTATACATATATTTTTTTAGTTATCAAAGGATATTTTCAATTTGTATAAGTAAGATTTATAATTCAACAATGTAATAAAAAACAATATGTAATTGAGATCACCGCATAGGAACGTAAGCAGGCATGAAACACGTGAAAAGGCCTTATTATCCGTTAGATTTAAAATCATGTTGAACTAACAACCTTGTGTTTTCTGGAGATACTGGAGATTCTAGAGAACTTGAAAGCTTTTCCGTTTATTTGTAAAACAACTACTTCTACTCCTTCAGACTATATTTTGCACCTGTAGAACGGAGCTGCGAGCCTATAGTATCGACGTGATGAAGGCGCTGCAATATAATTTCATGGTCACCGCCTTCATTACAGTTGTCTCTTTCAATTTATAAATTACAATCTATAGAGAATTGATTGTATGTAAGGTCTACTATTTAACCACTAAAATAATATTGTAGTCTAGTATTAGCTGAAACAATTAAGGCTTTCAAATTCTCGAAACTAGGATAGTAGTCAATCCATATTGGTATGGTCTACGTTAAAATTCACCGTCTATAAGTTAGCTAGCCAATGAAAAAATAACAGTAAATCGTTTACATCAAAATAGTTCTAAAAATAATCGCCGTAAGCCAAACCACTAAAACTTCCATTTTAGTAATAAATGTATATATCGGTTGTTAAGTTTTTATTAATTAGTTTTAAATAAAGGAGACATTTTTAGCAACAGTAAAAGTTTCTATTTTTAAAAACATAACAACAACTTATTTGTAAACAGACATAAGATAAACTTGAAGAATAATATGTTATTTTAAAGCATAGAAAATTAAATATCTAAACATTAAAATATCTCAAATATCTTCCCCTTTGACAAATTCAACTTTTCTTTTTCTTATGAAAATAGTTTCTTCTAAATTGTTTTCCATTTTTATCTTGCCCTACGTATGCTCTTGGAGTTTCACCAACTTTTACTATGATAGCTGGCTCCCAGTGCTTGGTCCGAACATTTCGTACATAAATGGGATCCTTTTCTTTATATACTGTTTCTTGTTTAGTCGTCTTATCATAATAAGATTTTTTATTGATTCTTTTCGTCTACATTTCATCTGCTACATCTTGATTAAGAATTATCTTTGGCTCTAATCTGTGATTTGGAAGAGGTAATTTTGATCTTAATACCCTTGTGTACCTATATTAATAATCGAAAACATTATAAAAACATTAGTACCCTTTTAAATTCATTTTAATTCAAATGAATTTAAAAGGGTACTAATGGTTTTATAATGTTTTCGATTATGTATAGAGTAGTATCCCTAATCACAATCATACTTATTATACCTATATTAATATATATGTAATTGTAGTAGTAATAATGGGACATTTAAATAGATTACCTTCGTGTCATTCACTTTTCACTGATGTTTGTAATGTTATTGAACAATGTTATTTAGAATTCTAAAGGAAATTGAATAGGAATAGACATTTGTTATCTATAGACTTGGCATTTACATGTAGAAGGTTTGGCTATTTATTCTTACTGAATTCCTTTATATTTTTAATTATTTTAGGACATTATAATTTAAATTGTAGTTTTCTTTGTAAGAACCGTCACATGATTCTGTCGTTCATTTGAACTTGTTTGTCTTTTCTCCAATTTATTTAGCTAACGTATTGGTATGTGTAAGGTATAAACCTAAAAGTGAAAGAGAGATGGTTTTATCTACAAAAACAAGTAGGCCTATATTGTGAATTATTAATCATATCTCCAATTAGATCGTGGAATTGTCTTCCTGATTACATCAACTGCACATACAATAGTCAGTTTGAGGAGCTGGGATCAGTGAGTCTCTGGAGCGGGTCGCCGGAATTTTATCCCCCTGGAATTTTACCCCCTGGAATTTTACCCCCTGGGCAAAGCTGACGTCACTATGACGTAGTAACCTGAGTGGCCAAAAATTTGTTCGCGGCCGGAATTTTACCCCCGCGGATTTAGAAGTCTAATGAAAGTAGTCAGAGCATGATTAATTAGATTAGCGATATAAACCGGAATTTTACCCCCTGTCCATAGAACTAGCGTTTAGACAACTGAAGATGTACGGGCCGGATTTTTACCCCCGGATTTTTACCCCCGGAATTTTACCCCCGGATTTTTTACCCCCCGGAATTTTACCCCCTGGCCGATTTTAGAAATGGAATGATTGATTTATTTCTGTTTTTAATTAATTGTAAACAGTTCATTATTTAGTAGCCTATCTTTATTTATTTATTTTGTAATCTCAACTAAGTAAACAGAATTCGCTGTTTTATTTTGATCGCATTAACCAACAGTCCAGCAAGATCGAATCCTGATATTCGAATCTCAAAATTAAAATTATTAACATGTTCGATTTGTTAATGTTACAAATAAATTAAGAGGCTACTTAATAATAAAATGTTTACTATTAAATTAAAACTGAATGAAGATAATTAATCATTCTCACTAATTTATACATCTGACTAGGGGGTAAAAATCCGGGGGTAAAAATGCGGGGGTAAAATTCCGGGGGTAAAAATCCGGGGGGTAAAATTCCGGGGGTAAAAATCCGGGGGGTAAAATTCCGGGGGTTAAATTTCGGGGGTAAAATCCGGGCCGTGCATTTTAGGTTTTGATAATTTGATGTGTTCCGCGTTTAATCCATCGAGCTGATGTCGCGAAACTCAAAAGTTCGCGGCCGGAATTTTACCCCCTGGTTTGTGACGTCACGTTTGCCCAGGGGGTAAAATTCCAGGGGGATAAAAATCCGCTACCACTCTGGAGCTGATGTGTCTAGTCATTGGTGGATTATGTATTTGATTACATTGTGTTTTTTAGTGAGTGATGCACATTATACGTTATTTTTAACTGTTATAAACAAAGAGAAAATCTATAAACGCTATTTTTTTAGTTTTTTTTTTTAAGTTAGTCCAAACCCTGTTCTTATTACTACCTCTTGTCATCCTATCATCATTAACATCCCAATGACGAATAACAACTATACCCTTGATCGATATAGCCAGGAATTGAACTAGTGAGCCTCAGATTTGAAGGCGAACACTATAACCATTCGACTTCCCAGAGAATCGTTTGAATCGATTCCGGAGAACCCAGAGAATCGACTTGTTAGTCCAAACTAGAGAGCACAGAATAGAAATAGAGGGGCTGCGTATATCCTTTTCTTTCTATTCTGTGCTCTCTGGTCCAAACATCGCCATTTGTATTTTATGAACTTTCCATTAAGTTTCATTTAATTACTTGTAGTAATACTAATTGGATGATCAGGACAAGGTTTGAATGAAAAATAGGCAGTTGTAATTAAATAAAAGTTTATTTCACAGTTATAATACACTGGGGACTAATAACATAACATAGTTTGCTCCGCCACTTCTCTGTAGTGACTTGGCGTTTGATTTTGTACAAGGGCAAAGCTCTGCTTGCTTTCTCAAAACTTATCTACTTCTACAATGAATTAGGTCCATTCATACCGTTTTTTCTAAGATATCTTGTAATTAAATAACCAAGCAAGGTGTTTCAAGATTTTTTCATTGTCTAACAGATTGGATTTTGATTTTAAAATTTCTTGGCTGGTAAAAAAGAGAATTCTCTCATTAATTAGTAATGTGCGAGTAAACTATAAATGATTTGTCTCAAAAGTGGGTTTACCACTTTTGAATATTGATATCGGAAGTTTATTTTTTTATTTATTGTTGTCTTTGGTAATTTAAGACACTGTAAAGTTTAAATTCATCTTAAAATAAACCCACATATAATTAATAATTGATTTTATAACGATCGTAGTGTTATACATAACAGATTTTCAAGAACCTGTTTTCAGTTTACACTATATAATTTGCAAAACACTCAATTATTGCCAAAGTTCTAAAAGAAGTAGATAAGTTTCAAGCTCTTTCATACAACTTACACTTCAACAATAGCCTCTATATCAGGTACAAAAAGCCTCGACTAACCAACTATCTACACCTATACGAGCTAATAAAGCAATCAACAGATCAAGTACAATTATACTAGAACTAGTCTGCAATACTTTGGACTCTATCCATTGAACTTTACATAGGTTCATATCTACACTGTACAGCTAACAATAATACAGTTTACCGAATAGTTCTTCTAAAATATTAAAATCGTAACAATATATCATAATTTTATATTAGTTACACAACTTTACAAAACGCTATCTACAAAAAATAAAACTTTGAAATAAATAATAACTCTTATTCTAGTAACTTATAACTATGTTCAACACATTGTAAATGTTTGTACGTAAAATCCCATTTATACATTCGGTAAAATGTTATGTATTCTAAGTTATTGTTGCAAACAATGTTTATAAGTTCAATCATTCGAATTGTTGAATTGTTTAATTTATATAAACACAGTTTTTTCAGTAGTTACATTAGATTTTTCCCCAAATATTTACAAAGAAATCAATTTTAAACGCAATAGAAAAGCAATATTTTTTTTGTGGCTCATAGAACAAAATTAATATATTTTCCAAATACTGGTTATTTACTATACTTATTTCATTGTGATTTTCTTTTTTCTTTTAATAATTCTTCGAAATAATGTTTTGTTTATAATTTTTTATGAACTGATTCTTTGATTTATATTAAAATACTAAAAAGTAGTGTGAATTTTGTATGTCTTTTAATAAATAAACTTCAACCATCTAATAAGATTAATACAATTGTTTAGTAGTTACCATTCCCGTAGTTTCAGTTAAAATCACATATTCCTAATTGTTTGTGATAAAGTATGTCTTGTAAATTTAACATTAAGTTGCTAAGATTAATATTTTCATTATTCAAAATGACCATTAACAACAAATTTATTATATATAATCATTAACCTTGTTTATATTTTGAATGTCTGTTATATGTAGTTGTACAACTTTTTACTCAAACAAATAAACAAATAACTGACTCACTATGTGCTCTCGTGAATTTACATAAATAATAGCTTTATAATGTTACTGACCATAGTAACCCCTTTCAATGTTTTTAAGTTCAATAATTTTATATGGTTAATTTTGAGTTTAAAATCGTTTTATAACACAGTAAAAGAAACATCCACTCTTAGACTTTACATGAGTTTAACTCGTCAAAAGTTCCATCGCGGGGCATCTGTAACAGAACGCACTGTAGTCCACTACTTGGGGAAGCAGTATCCGGAGTAAGTCCTGATGTTCTCCTCCACGTAGCTCTTCCCCTGGACTGTGCCGGGGTCCGTGTGATGGGTCGGACAGTAGTGGTTGTGAGGACACTGACATAGAGTGTTGGTGTTGACTTCGTCCAGCAGTTCCAGCCTCTTGCGTACAGTGAACAGACGACACGGCTCCTTGCGTTGGCACCGTAGCCTCTGCAACAGGGAAAAATACGTTAACGCTGTGGAACAAGTGAAAGATGTCAGAGTGGAGAAATAAAATAAACATTTTCTAGCAAGTTGGGTAAACAAGTAAAAGTGGAATAAATATGTCAGAGACGTAACACTGCGTAGCAAAAGCTGATAAGCAAGTACGATGCATAAGTAAACACTGTGAAACAAGTGGGATGAATAAAACATTCAAAACATAACTGAGTGTGATGCTATTAATATGCTTAGTTTTTGTATCACAGTGTCATAGTTTTGACACTGATACATTATGTGATACAAAAGATTATACAGTTTATAATAGGCTGTCCTTGCAGTTTAGTACCATTTGACAGTTATCGTATTCGCGTATAAATCAGTTTAATTGAATTCAACACTAATGTATTCAATTCTTACACTGGCTACAATGTGCAGCTACAACATGGGAAAGCTAGTTATATCTATAGTCAAACCTCTCTCAACCTCTTTAGACTCTTAGCTAAGAATGTATAGATCTTCCTCCTCAAAATCGTGTTGTTTATTTCCGAAAAAAAACATATATTTGAATTGTTAACACTTACACTCTGAGGGCTGCACGCGAAGCTGTACTGGTAGCCTATCTGACCGTCCCTTCCCTTGAAGGCTTGTTGTTTGATGAGGTACGCCACCGCGCCCCTGGGGCAGTGGCAATGTACCAGCTGTGACGTCACGTTGTCTGGTCCCGACGTCAGCGTCCACGTGACGTCACGGAAGTAGCGACACTTGGGCAGCTTCTTGACTGGCTCACACAGCTGTAAACAACATGCCAGTGTGAATATTGTGATTTTTTCAATGCATTTGTTTTGTTAAATGTTGTCTCATTGGCCATAATAGTGAAACTATTCGTATTCCTGTAAACTGCGGTGGTTTTAAATAGGCAGGTTATTTATTATTCCGTGTTAAGTGTGATTTTTTACTGCGGATATCAGAATATGTATAAACATTGAATATACAGTAGTTGTATAAAGAACTCCTGCAGATCTCAGGTTCCGTTTTATTATTTACATCGATGGTTCCGTCAAATCACGGACAGAAGTCCGCAGTCTTACACGTGAAGTGGTTTGCTACGCACCTTCTGAAGGCGTTCGTTAAATACGAAATGTCCTTATTTTACGTTCTTGGTGTAGAATTTTATTTGTTATTGATTTAGTTAACATGGAATTCAGTTGACTTGGTAAAACTATAATTTATTTGAAAACTGATTTTTTGTTGGCAAGATTGTCAATACGTAACCATAAAAAACAATCTACGGTAAAAACCTACCTGGTAAAAACACGCTGTCAACACTGTGTATATTGAAAGAACAACACAATAATTTGCCTGTTAATGGGTTAGGTTAGAATCGGAAGTGTTTTTAGATTTTATATATTTTTAGGGGGTTTCAATCTATTCATTAGTATGTTTTATCAAAGATCTATAGTTTCATCCACCAAGTTAGTCCGTTGATAAACTTGTATTCCAGCTTTTCTAAAATCTTACAAAAAAAGGTTGATACTGACATGCTTTAACTGTTCATTTATATGCGATGTAAATGTGATTCATTCTTTAAAAATGTTTTGATTATTTATCGATAAAATATTTAACAATGGTTCCGGTTGTATTTGCTAAAGTGATAGTATTTGATAGTGATTTCAATGGTAAAAAGAACCACTTGGAAGATACGGGTACAATTATACCTACAAATATATAGTAATCAATTCTTTGTTATTTGGAAACAAACCGATGCAAAATTTTAGGTAACGTCACTATTGGATCGACAGGCGTCCGAAAAACTTGAATTGTTGTCGTAACATATTTTACCGCTCTTCCTTGAGGTTAATTTAATAAAAATAATTATAAGCAAAAGAACGCCTATATCATTGAATAAAGTGATTCGTCTTCGTCTGACTGAATATACAAGTCTTGTTTGGCCGTTTGGGCCGATACAGATTCAATACACGCCTAATCCTCGTTTGGATCAGTTTATCGAGGTCCAACATATAAAAAATACAGCCAACGGAAGACTCGAATCATCGCATCTTATCTTTATGCGCTGATCTATCCATGACATCTCGAGAGGATCAATGGCATCTCAGCTTTTGTTGGGGTCGCCTCAGAACAGTTCGAGACCAAACCACTCGACCTGGACAATGCTGGTGTTAAGGGGCGTCATTGTAGAAAAGGCAACCCCATTGAGTCGACAGATGTCCGGGCCAAAACACTTTTGTGGGGGTCATCAATCTCCTCGCATCACCTTCAGCTACAGACACTGCTAGCTGCGTCATCGTCATTCGACGGATGGCATTCCGGAAATCTCAACATCAGGCCCTATACTTTAGGCATGTCTTGTCTTGGACACATGCATATCTACATCTACGTGCACGTATACTGTATCTCGTCTTACCTTGAGCTGCCTTGTCTTGTCAGAGAGTGTGTGTCCGTCGATGGACGACAGACTAGAGGAACACTTGGTAGAGCCTGGACACCTGCATTGTCTCTCTATCCAGGGTGATTCGTACATGTCTACTTTGCTGCAAACAGACCACGGCCTGCACACTGGTAGTTCCTCTTCTGATTCCTGTAACATCGACATAAGTACTGTATTAGATTTGTTTGTGTAGTAAATAAAATTGTATAGGCTGGATTAACATTTTATCCTCTTTATTGCCAATGCTCTTTTTCAGTATTACTATTTTGAGCTACAACTAAATAACGACGCCAACACATTACAAAATTCGTTTAGTAAGAGTCAAAATTATTTCAATAGTGTGGAAAATTTACATGAAACCTTTTTAGTGGCACCGGCAAGTTTCTCAATGATTACTCATGAAAAGCTCAGTAATCAAGTTAAAACTTCAAGGATCAATATTGGCGCTCGTCTTGATAACGAAGGGTTTCAACAAGATATTTATAAACGCATGAACGCATGTGATGTTCGTCAATTATATGAAAAGAATGACAGATTCAATGACGCTAACGTCTTTTACAGCTTCTTAATGATTTTACTCAAGGAATCCGAACATAAATAATTGATTTTAGAAAAAAATATCTAATGTTAGCATGCAACAAGCGGGTTCTCCGAACAACTTTGTCCGCGATAGATTGGCCGAGGCGACGACCCGACGGGGCTCGCTGGATAGAAATGTCTGTCGCATTGCTACGGCAGAATGAAACGAATAGCACAATTATATGTGAGGGAAAAAGAGAATCGCGGCCGGTAACTATTTGTGAAATGGCCGTAAACCCGGGAGGTATGTGGCGGTGGAGGCAAAGCGGCGACGGCGACATCCGGGGCATTGGACTGTTGGATTACATGTAGATTGTGGATTGAGGAAATCTCCTGTATATTGACGTCTACAGTTTGTTTACTTTTAACGTGACTAACAGCTGGTGGTACAAAGGAAGGGAAGAGATTGATTATAGTCATAGGGCGGATGGAAAACTGTGGAAAAAATATGTGAAATTCAAATTTGATCAATATGAGAGATGTAAATGTACATGTGAGTGTGGAAATTAGATTAGCAAGTGCAATCTGTTTACTTAACATTACAAACAGTGATTGGTGGAAAGAAATGAGGGAGAACAATTGTAGCCAAAGCATGAACAGGGAATCTTGTAAAAGATAGAGGGAAATTCTATCAAGGTCAGGAGAAATTACTGATTTACCCATCATTAATTTAAACTTTTTCATTTTGTCGTGGTTTTGGACTCAAACAAATGGCATTACTTAAAGACATACAATGCACTCGTGTATTAATACGACGTGGTCTGGGGTAGCTTGGGGCACAGCTTCACTACTTTATGTAAGACGGGATTAGGCCAGAGGACTTTTCTTGTCACTTTTCACTATCTATCTAATTTGACTGCCCAGTTGGTTTTCTCTTTGTCATAGCTAGTGTTTAAAGTTTACCTTAAGCATTATGTCCTTCAGTAGAAGATTAAATAATTGGGTAAAAATTGGGAATATTTATAATAATTTGAAAAGTTACATAAAAGTTAGGCTACACCGTCCTCAAGTTAAGGTTAAACACAGAGTATAATAACTCAATTTCACCGCGCATCTGAAGACGTATAGTGAAACAACTATAAAACAAGTACAAATGGTTATTTTAGAACGTATTATCTTTTCTGTATAAGTGATATAGGTCGATAGTTTCCCCGATCAGATCACTATCTCCGCAGCTATTATTAACTAAGTGCACTGTTGACACTCAATACCAAGTCCCGCATGGGTGCAGCTGATCTTGAGTGTCTTGGTACAACGTCGTGAATGTTTGGCAAGATCGGTGTCGTCATCCACACTGCAGCACACCTGCGTACTCCCAGGGGAGGGGGTGCACCACAAGAGTCATGTTACTACTACTTATCTCGGGGATCGGTTACAAGAGTGGTCTCGTAGATAACGCGTCCATGTTTTCAATAAATTTGAATAATTTTGAATTGATGATTAATGATGATTTATTTTTTGTTCGAAAAGATTGTTTTTAGATTTTTGTGTGTATACTGTATAGTGTTTGTATTTCATGCGCAAGTCTAGATGTGTTTGTGATTAGGACTCCTACCTATTCTATTTTTTCGATGATCTTGGTTTAGCGGTAGTTGATAAAAACTAAAAAGTGTTTCGTTCGTTTGATTTGATTTTCCAAAATGTAATAACTTGGTGTCCAAATTAAGTTGGGTTTGAAATACATAATCTGCTGGGTAGGTTTCCCATTTAACGATGTGATTAGCTGTGGAGTACTTAGCTGAGTTGAGTTTTGCATTTTAAAGCTGCTAATCTTAGGAAACAATGCATATGTTTAACTTTCTACTTTCTCAGTGGGGATTTATTTAGTTCTTAATTCAGGCTAGCCTAGTTTTAGATCTAGGGATGCAATATGTTATAGTTCGAAGGTTTACTGTTGTTTTCAAAATAGCGTGAGTAACCAATATTTTGAAAGGCCCCTTGGATTATTTGTCTAATACAGATTACCTCATAAAGTGTAAAATCGTCTGCATGTTACTTCCGTTGAAAAAAGTCAATTTGGAAAAGTAATTTCTAAAATCAGGGATAAAAAAATGAAAGCATACGGCAAGACGAATTTCTCATCAGTGTTAACGCGATATCTGACAGGTTTATGTTTGTGTCTGTGGGGGGGGGGGGCTGCCGGAAACTATATGTAATAGTTGTGAGTTGGGTCCTGGTACCAAATTTAATTATGAGGAGCGGGTTCGTGTCGTGGGCCGGGATAGCGGGGCCCGTGGAAGCTGTTTTAGCTCAAAAAAGTATTCTAAGACTGCCTGAGATCTTATGGTAACTATTATATGTTTGAGGGCGTTTTATGTGAATCTTTGTGTAAGTGGATCTGCTGTATTATACTTTTACTTTAAGTATAGACTAATTTTTATTAATAATTACTTAGATACTCAAGTATGTTCAAGACCATAATTTACTTTAAGGGTTGGCGGATTCTTTTTTTAAATAGGGTTAAATTTGTGTCAGATTTTATACAAATTAATTTCAAACGATTCGTTGGAGTTTGTTGCGATAGTTAATGTTTTTTTTTTAGGCTGCAAAAATCGCTTGGTCGGATATTTTTAATCTTGGTAACGGCTGTGAAAATGTGTTCGAAATACATTACGCGTGTTTAAGAATAACAAAATCGGAGAAGTATTATTTGATTAACCCACATTTTCAACGGATTATGAATTTCTTAAGAATCTTCATCTCTAATAGTGCAAAAGATTCTATTTCATAGGGTGGAGGTTTTATAGAGTAGTACTGTACAATTCGTCTTGCCAAACTTATGTAACCGGTACCACTGAAAATTAAGATGTAGCAAATGTACTCCGAAAGATGAAATATAGCTCACATAGATCGCAAAACCCCAATTAAGCAGTTGATCTTAATAATCGTACAGGTAAACGTTTAAATGACTGTTAAATTATATAAAGATACTCCTTTATTATGGAGAAGTTGAAACCTTCGTAGCACAATTTACGACGAAAACATGTTGACAAACAAATGTATTTATCCTCGACATTTTATTCGACTCTGATTTTCCTCACTCAAGATGGACCGGTGAGAGGAGTGACAACACGGAAGATCTCGTGTACAGTCTGGTGCGCGAGGTCTACATTGTGTGGACGCGAGTGTACGCACACCTGCGCCGGCGCGGCTGACCATTCAGTGCGCAGCGCTTGCGCAGCGGCGTGGTTGCGTCAGACCATTCATCCCGTCCATGCGCTGATCTGTACTTCGACAATTTGTTGTGGGATTTCAGACACATTTAATTTGGGATGTGATATAACATGGGACAGTTTGAATTATGTACGAGTTAACTGTATCGTTGTTTGGAACACGCTTTGAACAGTTTTATTATTGTAGGGTTCGGAGGTTTTCAAGTGATTACGAGTAAAGAATTTTTAACGTATTCGAATCTGTTGAGCGAGAAATATAGGTTTGGTCTTATGAGTAAAGCTACTTCGATGGGCTAGAATCATTAGATTTTGTAAAGTTGGAATGGTCATCACTTATCTATTATTTATTATTACTCTCTTGCGTTTTCGCAATGTATTGTTTATTGCTTTGTTTTTTTTTTCATAAGCTTTGCTACAATATGCGTGTTAGTCCATTCATGTGGGTTAAGTTAAATGCAGACACAATACCGGATCGACTGAGTTTATTTTAATACAATTCAGAGGAGAGATTTTAAACGCACAATGTGTTGAACTTTATCTCATAATGTTTCACGTTCACAAGTTTTTATTAAATGAAAAAAAAATTATTACATTACTATACTTGGGTTGCAGGTGATTTTACATTTCGTAGCTGTTGGGTGATAGCTTAAGTTGACGTCACAATGTTGTTGTTAAATCTCAAGAGAAAGAAACGATTAGGCCAATTCAGGAAATCGCTCCACCTGTTTCTTCAGCCTACTTCGTGTTTACTACATCTGGCACACCCTATGAATGTTTCTGTAGTTTATTTGAAGAATATGCTTACTCCAGGCTCTCGAGGTGTGCTCGAATGTCAATGTACTATACAGCTGATTTATGGATACACTCTGTAACTCGTGTTGCTCGTCAGGCTCGTGCGGTGTGCCCTGTGTCGCAAGTGAGGAGTGAGCCCACTGGTTGTGGTTGTAGGTTGTTGGAAGGTCAGTTCAGCAGGTGTAGGGTGTATGTGTTGGCGTTGCTCGTGGTCCTCGCGTTACAACATCCAATAGTTACCTCCACCTACACTACACTCGACAGAGGGAACGGCGGTTGCGAAACGGTCAATCTCGCCGGTGTTGAAGGTGGAACGCTCAACGCTGGACCGCGCGGACTTAACTTCCCGCCAAACCGGGCGAGGCCGAGCGACCAGTTACTTTCAATTCATTGATAGGTCTCTCTCTCTCGCTCGCTCTGTGCCTCTCCCTCTCTCAATGGGCACAAGTTCATTGAGGCTCGGCCGCCGTATAAATAGAACGCCGGTGAATGGGCATGAGCGTTCCCGCGCAAACTACAGCCGTGCTGGAAGGCGGGTGCGTTCTGCGTGGTCGCCACCTGATGCAAAATTTGTAAAGTTTTGTTGAACGGGTTTTACGAAGTTAT